GATGGCATCTACTCTATCGCTTTAACTACTACTTAGATATCGAAATGCTTGGTCAAAACTCCCCCCCTGGATTTAACTGAGAATGCCTAGAAGTTGGACAGCTCCATGTAAATTTCCCACAGGCACATCTAGGTAGCATGTCCCCAGCTCAACTCCACCTACTGGCCTCCAGCTCTGTTGCCTCTCCTGTACTCCCTATCTCAGCAATGATGTCGCAGTCCTCCCAGCTGGGCCGGGTCACCACATCCAATAAATTACTCCTCAGTGTCACTTAAGTTACTCGCCTCCTCTCTAGTCTTCACTGAAGACATTGCCTCATTTCCAAACCTGAAAATTTCCCACTGAGATCCCTTTAATGACCAATTTGGTCATGGCCTCAGTTTTCCTTCTTATACGTTACTCTTTTTCTCATTTTTCCACAATGGGGATTTATTAATCATGTATTCAGTACAACATTGCCTTTAAATAACAGCCATGCAATATTCCTGCCTCATAGTTCATGGCTGTCCAACTCTGTGTGTGGATTGGACCAGCTTATGGAACTGGACACTCTACTTGGGCCCCCAGGTAGTTCTCACGGTCCCATATTCTGTGCTATTACCCGTGTCACTTAGCATGCCCATCTGTGCAGAAGATAACTCACGGGCAGGTCAGCAGGAAATAGAGGAAAGTTCAAGAGTCAAAGCTCAAATCCCACTTGAGCTAACAAGCTGTGTAACAAGAACTAGTTACTTAGTCTCTGAGCCGCAGCTGCCTCCCCTGGGACATGGGAAAACGGCACCCCCATTGCGAGCCGATGAAGGATGAATACAGTGTCTTACGTGACAGCTTCTAGCACGGCTCCTTCCAAGAGTGGGCTCTGAACCACGGATTGTGACAGGAAAATATCTATCATTCATCTCAGTGCCTAACTCCAAAAATATTTGTTCCCTTCTGCCCCAATGTATCTTTTCCTTAAATTACTTCTATGCTTTTACAGGCTCATCTTGTCTCCCCCGCTTGCTAACTATCCTAAGAGGTGAGGGCGCTCCTTCCTCCCCACGGTCCCGGGTGGAGGTGGAGTTCCCTTGGCCAGTGTGGTGTCCGCACAGCGACTGCTTAACAAAATGGCACAGTAGTTAACGGGGCTTGACAAGAGCTTGTGCCCAGACCTCCCACCAAACCTAGAACTGGCTTTTGAGGCTATGAGAACAAACAAAGATTTTTGAAAAGAGGAGACAACAGGGGCCCACGGGGGCAGGGGGTCGAGGGCAGGCATGGATCTCCTTACCTTTACACTGCAGGCCCTGCCGCAAGAGGCCCCAGAGCAGGGACCCACAGTGGTCGCAGAAGGTGGGGACCTTGTAGTTGTGGATACTGAACTTGTGGGGCATGTTGACGCTGAACCGCTGGGAGCCCACCTGCAGGGACGGCAAAACACAGGGTCACGGCCAAGCTCCTGTGCAGCCTGGAGAGCTAATCACTGGACCTTCTACAGAACTTTCCAGAAGGCATAGTCATTGCAGGTGGCAGGCCCTAGTATGGCTCTGAAAGCTGCCCTGAGAAAGGAGGTGAAGAAAGCCTCCCTCCTGCCCCAGGGCCTTTGCTCCTGATGCCTTCAGCCCATTTGCTGCCGCTCTGTGTGACTCTGAGAGTCACTCCTTTTGGAAACCAGATCACAGATCCATCTGATTATAAGCTGTCTCTGACCCCCAATTCTAATGACCTGTGATGATGCAGTATTTATTTCACAGAGAATTAAAACACGGCTTTGAAATCAACTACTATGAGTATAGATAACCCCTATAGTATACTGACATTCACAGTCTTCTCCCAAACGGTCAGTTAGGAGAAACCCACTTTGCTATTGAATTCTCTTGCTTCTTTACCATCAGCAACTTCCCTAATAGTCAATCTGACACTCGTTTCTAAGATGAAGAGGCAACATAGTGCAGTGGTCAAGGGCTCAAGCTCTGGAGCAGACTCCTGGGTCTGACCGTGGCTCCTTTGCACACCAGCTGTGTGCCTTGGGGCAAGTTAACTTGACCTCTTGGCTTCTATTCTCTTTGTTGTAAATGAAGATGATAACAACCATCACATTGAGGCTGTTATGGGGCCAGATGATAGACAATGAAGTGCTTACATCAGGGCACGGTAAATTCCCAGCGAAGTCGGCTATTGTTGTTACTGAAGCTATTTCCGCCTCCTGCGTGTTTCTGGGGTTTGCTAATCCCACTCCATTCCCCCATCACCTCATAAAGATAAGCTCCTGCTCCTATGTTGACTCTCTCCCTCACTGTTTATGAGCGTGTGGGGCCACTGGCACGTCAGTTAGCCGCTTCACTGTTCCCATGAGATAATGGCATAAAAGAATACATGTTTTCCTCATGGGCTTTAGCTCTGGGATCACACAGCTCTTGGCACAGTCTCCACAGACGTAAATCCGACTCTGGTCCACGCGCATTCTGCAGACTGTGCCTCATGCCGGAAGGCGGTGGACAACTCCCCTCCTTTTTGATCAACACAAGGAAGAAAGCAATGGGATCTCAGAGAGATAAGGCTTTACTTGGGGACCGCGGAGGAGGCGGTAGAGGGCAGGGATGGCAGTGAAGAAAGCCCGGGACTTCAACGCTGCAAATATTTACCTCGTCGGGAGTTTCCTGTTTCTTTAATCCAGCACACTTCGTGATGATGAGCTCATGGCATCGCTTGTGGACCACGCAAGTGCACACTGCAAACAGCAAGACATGGGGAGGCTGAGCGACAAGTGGGGGAAGGAAGGTTCCACTCCATGATTCAATCGGGCTTTGGCGAAGGGACAAGGGGAGCCATGCCCCTTCTGTCACCGGGTCTTAAGGTAACACCCTACCTGAAGCCCTTTGAGCAGTGGTTTCAAAGCCCTCCGCCATCCCAGCCATCCCAGCCATCCCAGTTTCCCACATGCTCTGGGGAAGAATGGACCATTTATATACAAAGGGCTTCAGTGGTTTTCTCCAGTTCCAGGAGGACCCGTCAGGTTTCTCGCTTCTACGTGCCCAGGGCAGGGAACCGTTTCCCTTCCATGCAGTCCGTCTATCAGAGACAGGACAGCATCTTGCTCATCTCAGGACCACGTCAGGGCTGGTTGGTGTGTTAGGAGGAACGCAGCGGGAGAATGCGTGTTTTGTGGTACAGAAGTTCTTAAGCTTCTGATCTGGTTGTGTCTTTACATGCCAAGCATAAACATTTCCATTCAACTGACTACCTCCCCAGAAGTGGTCTGTAGCTCTGTCTTCAGTGCCACGGGGCAGTGTGGTCAGTGAGGGGCTGAAGAGGCCAGTAACTGTTTGCACACACAGCGATACCCAAAAGGACCTGCCCAAGTCCCCAGGCGTGAGACCCAAGCCAACCAGTGGCTCGGTGGGGAGATGGAATGGCCTCCCAGACCAAACCACAGAGAACCCTCCACATGACCACATCACATGCCCACCCTTCAATTCTGGACCACTTAACCTTGCATTTGTAGTCAATTAACTGCAAACAGAAACTTCAATAACTTTGAGTGCGTTTTCAATGTGTAAGAGCTAACGATTCCAGAGCGGAGGCAAAAAAGAGAATCGGCCAGGACCATCAGGGATGCTGCATAAAACAGGCAGGGGAGGGAGCGTCCCCAGGGGGTGAGAGAGTAAGGGGGCTGATGGGATACAGAGAACCTGGTGTGGTGCCCAGGGGGGACCTTCGAGGGGCCTCTAACTGACGCACGTGTCTCCCTAGGAAAGATGGGAGTGCTACTTGCAGACCGGCTCGACCCGGGGGCCCCCAGAGATACATCTACTCCCACATGTGCATGGAGGAGCAATGGCCAGGCAGCGACAAAGTAAACAGGGTCCTGCTTCCCAAGAGGGAGCAGGAATGGAAACTGTGGAGAGCTCAATGCCATCAAACCCAGCACACACCTCCCACGAGCATTAGTAGCATTAGTGATCGGGATGGGCCCATGGGCCCCAGGGATTTAGTTCATACAGCACCTCTTACCTTGACATTGGTATCCCTGCTTTCCTATGACACCCCTGAAAGGAAGAACACAACCCTGTAAGTAACATCACCAAGTACACCAAGCCACCGCCTGCTGGTCACCACCCACCAAGCACCAGGCACACTTGGTGTACCTAGCAGTGCAATCTCCCTCCCACTCGCAGGCGGCCCTAAAACGACTCCCTCAGAGGCCACAGAGGGCAGCCCCAGCGCTTGCGAGGGGTGCAAGGTTTGCTCAGTGAATGGGCTTGGTTTCCTACACAAACAGCCGTCCTCGTGGGACCAGCAGTGCTCCGGAAGCCACAAGACTCCGGTGCTCCCTGCGGGCCTTGGTAAGTCGCTTGAGCCCGTCCTTGTGGGCAATCCTGGAGGCACTTCCCTGGTGTTCCAGAAGCTGGCAGGGATTACAGGTTAGTCTGTGGCCAGGACTGGGAGTTCAGTGTACCGTTTGGGTGAAGGCCAACATTAGAAGTTCCTTTCATGGCCAGAAGAGTCTCTCCTGGGGCCAGTTTAGGGTCAGCATGGACACAAGCCAATCAACTTGGCCTGAGCCCTGACCTCAGGGCACCCACAACCACTGGTCAGGGAGCCCCCTGGAACTCCTGGCCTGGCGGGGGGAGCCAGAAGGCATTTGGGCCACACCTCAGGAAACCTGGAGCTCAGTGTGTTGGCCATGGGCTCAGAGGAGACCTGAATCTGTACGACTCAGCTTTCAGAGCCTCCGTCCCTCCGAACATGCAATTCATAAACACGATACAGAGAACGGAGCTCGGAGGGCCCAGGCAGCCCTGGGAAGGAGGCCGTCTGTGGGTGGGAGTGGGGTGCTATTTCTGCCTCCGCTGGGTTGAGTCTTCTCTGAGCTGTGTCACCTCAGATCTCCATGCCAACCTCAGCGACGGGTTCTGGAACACCACGAGGATGAGAGGAGCCACTCCTGGACACCCCGTCCTCCAGAGTGCAATTCCAATGCTACCCGGCTGGGTTCCTGCTGCAATTTGGCCTCATTCACTCTTCCCCACCGGATCCAAGCACGCTGGCAAGCTCCAGTCAGCTTCAAAGGCTCAGAGAGGCTGCCAGAAAGGCCGGTGGGGCTTCAGGAAAAGCACGAGCTTCCAGTTGTGCTCACCAGGGGTGGGATCCGGCCTCTGACACTTCCCAGCTGGAGGAGTGCAGGCTAGTCTTGCTTTGATTTCTGAGCCTCAATATTGTTGTTAGTGGAATGGGGTTCACCATACATAGCTCAGAGGATACCGGGAAGATTTAATTAAATATTTCCAGTGCCTGAGAGAGAATCTGGCACAGGGTAGGTATTCACTAAGTCTCCCGCCAATCCCCAAGGCCAGTGCTCCTGATCCCTTTCCACCTCCCAAACAGGCCTACTACTTACCTACCTCTGCTTATCAAACTCCTAGTCATCATGAAAGGAGAAATGACACCTCCTCCAAGAAGCCTTCCCTGAGTACTTCAGCCAACGCTACTCCCTCACTCTGAAACCTCAGGATCCTAGCAGCGCCAGTGTTACAACAGTTACTAAGAACTCTTTGTATTAGCAATATTGGCAGTTGAGTAGTTTTTAACTTTATTATAGAGAAATTCAAACACATACAAAAGTAAGGAGACGGACCCTTACAGGCCCATCACCCAGCTCCAACAGTGATCAATGCATGGCTGCTCCTGTTTCTTCTCTACCCTGAGCCCCTTTCCCCCTCCTCCCACAGTAGTTTTTAAAACAAATCCAAGATTCATATCATTTTACTTGTAAATAATTCCGTTTGTCTCTCTAAGGATAAAGACTCTTTTTAAAGAAACCACAATCGCGGTACATTGTTGGTTATAAAATCTTCACTCCTTAAATGTGATACATGATATGATCCTAAGTACAAAGTCACCAGGAACCACAGTGTCTTTCCATTCGTTCTCCCAAGCACCAAACACTCACTTAGCTTTTTAGAAAAGTCTTCTGCAATTAAACCAAGAAGAAATCAAGCACACCAGCATTTTTTACAGTTTGTAATCTCCCAACGTCTCGGCCCAGAGAAGGCATAACCAGAAGATCCCAGGAGAGAGGGCCTTACCAGATAAAATCCCTGCAGTGGGAGCAGTAGGTGGGCTGCCGAAGGTAGGTGGCCATGAACTTGTGGCCGTTGACCTGGTGGACCCTGCGCCTGACGGCCCCTTGCCGCTTCCTGGGCCGCATGCGCTCCCTGAACACGCGCTCTTCATTGTCTTTAGGGGCTGGGGAAGGAAAAGAGCAGAAAGAGAACAGTCTGGGTTAGCACAGCTAGAAAGTGACTTCCTGCGGGAGAGCTGCTCCATCCTCGGGTGCCTGGAAGTGGGAGGGGATGTGGGGGGCCGATGTCGCTGGTGGAGGGATTCGGGGGTCTGAGGAGCCTCAGTGCTCAGCTCCAGCGAGACCACATGGGGTGGGAAGGCCCAGACTGTGCAGGTTCCCACACCAGCTGCACCCTGAGTATCCGTCCCAATCCCCAGTGGCTCCAGGCGTGGCTGCTCCACTCCTCCATATCAGCTAGGTGTGGTAAGGGTGTGGGGTCAGAAGGTTCAGGGTTCAAATCTTACTGCAACTTCTGAGCAGTGTGACCTCGGACAGCCAGTGTTTCCTTGCCCAGGGCCTCCGTGGGCATGGCCCTCTGTACATGGGGGTGACAGTGCCCACCCCATGGAGCCCTGTGGAGTCAGTGGTGTGACCTCCCTCTGCACCCAGCCACCTGGCTCAGAGAAGTAGCTGCCTAATAAATCCGACTGTTTTGCCTCTTGCCTCTTACCTAGGCTGGGACAGGAAGAGCCTTTTCCCAAGTGTCAGAGGAGAGGGGAGTGTAACACTATGAAAGCAGACAGTTTCTATGGTAGCCGCCTACAAGGCAGGAACCCAATCATGCTGGCATCTTGTTCTCGGACTTCTAGCCTCCACAACTGGGAGAGAGATCGCTGCTGTTTAAGCCACCCAGTCATGGTCCTTTGTTAAGGCAGCTGCGCTGAGTAAAACACTGATGGCAATAGCTAGCGCTTATCGAAGACTTACTCTAGCAAAGCATGTTACGTGTGTTACATGTGGTCACTCACTGCATCTCCACAAGGACCCTGCTTGAAGGGCACTGCTATTAACTCCATTTTGCAGGTGGTGCAAACTGAGGAATAGAGAGTGTACGTGACCTGCTCCTGTTAGCACAGCACTGAAGTGGTGGAGCCCGGGTTCTAACCCCGAGAGCAGGGGAGAAGCCAGTGCCTCACTGTGCACATGCTGCTCAGAGGGACACCCCCTCTCCCTCCAGCCAGGCCTGAAGCGCTCCTCAGAGTGGCTCTCATCACGGAAGAGAGCAGCCACCTGTGGCTTCTCCAAGGGCAGGGGAGGCAGGCTCTGGGCCCTGCCAGGCTCCTACCACTAGTTCCGGCCCTGGAAGGTCCCCTGCATGGCGCAGCTTAAAATGCACTGGGAGGCTCTGTGTCCTCTAATACCCCAACCCCACTCATCCCACCGTAGCAGTGTCGATCCTGGGGGGAAGGCATCACCCTTCCTGGACCTCTTTGAAACTAAGATGCCCTGCAGTGGAGATCACATGTGTGAGCCAAAGGCTATCCAAGGGCGTCTTGTCAGTCCAGAGAGGGCAGGGATGGAGGGCAGTAAAACTGAGGGGGGAGAGGCAAGAGCGGCCGTGCATGTCCAGCGGGGCTCTTAGGGGAAGCAGCCTCCGAGCAAACAGGAGCATTGTGGACCCGGAGCGCATCCTCAGGGATGCTCAGACAGGGATGACACAGGCTGGTCTGGTTGGCCCCTGCCTCCCGGCCCCCAGCAACTGGTGCCTTCCCTTTTCAACTGGTGCTTATGGTCTCAACAAGTCTGACACTGACCTCCTTCTGGGTGTGGAAAGCCACCCCCTCTTACCCTGCCCCACTCATCCCACCCCCTCTTACCCTACACAGCCTAGGGGCCAAGACCAGCTGCCCAAATTCTCACACGAAGACCTAGTTCTGTTTTCACAGAGACATTGATAGACGCGTGTGTGCACGCACACATGCACATGCATGCACATACATGTACAGAAATATGGCAATCATCACTCAATTGTGCAATCATAGGTGATTTTCATTTCTGCCTCATACTTTTCACTATATTTAGAATATTCTACTATTTTTATAAACTGGAAAATAAATGTGGTGCTTTTAAAAAACACACAAATCTTTTCAGTAGCCCTTACTAGCCACAAACCTGACCTATAAAAAAAAACAAACCAAAAAACCCAGTCCTGGCAGCCCAGGCCAGAGGATGGGAATTCTCTTTGTCAAAGGCATCCTTCCAATTCTTTCACAGAAGGATTTGCCAAGGAGTATATTTAAACAGTATATTTAAGATGCAATTTAATTTACAAATCCCACAAGTGTATTAGTCATTTGATCCTGGAAAATTGTATTTTCAGTTAAGCTGGAGATGAGTGCAATCTAGTTTTCTCTAGAGAGCACTGCTGTCGGGGAGGGGGGGTCCAGTCGTCCCCAAGGGCCTTACCTCTTAACTTTTTACAGAGATGACCAGCAACCTGTGCTTACATTGGTTTAATAGGTAAATACAGCAACCAACTAATGTAACTCCATTTGCCTTTAAAGACCTCTTGGAGAAGAGGGCTGACACCTGGATGGGGGGGAGGGAAGGTGAGACAGGGAGCCAAGGATAAATCCTGCTAAGTCAGGGTCTGACTGGACTTCCCCACAGGGTTCTGTTGCTCCTGCCCATCCAGACTACTCGTGAGTCAGGTCTTATGTCAAAGATGTGGGAAAACAGAAACAAAGGAAGAGCACAGGTAAGCTTTATGTTCCCAACAGGTCCCTGGCCACCCGCTGTGGCAAAGCAGCAGGACAGGCAACAAAAAAGGGTGGGGGCCCCCATACTCATCCCTCTGCACAAGGCAGTCAAGGGTCTGGCCAGAGTACCTTTGTGCCCATCACCCCCACACACAGAAGGAGCAGCCTGATCACGTGAGGAGAGAAACCACAGGGTTCCCTGCCCTCCCAGCATGACCCTGCTGGGATCTGGAGTCACCCATAGAAATGGATCTCTTCAGACTCCCCACTGCTGTGAAGGGTCTCTATTAAAATGCAGCTCCCATTGGGTAGAGGTGATGCATTATGTGTGCATGTGCATGTGTGCATGTGTGTACGCGCGTGTGTGTGGGTGTGTGTGAGAGAAAGGAGAATTAGTAGTATGAATATGACATAATTGTGTGTGTGCATGTATGAGAGACAGAGAATAGTAGCATGAATGTGACACAATCCTATATAATAAAAGCCTAATATGCTAAGTGTCCAGTCGTCCGTTCAACCAATCAAAGCGTAATATGCTAATGATATGCTAAGACTGTTCAACTGCTCGCTATGACGTGCACTAACCACCAGGGGGGCAGACGCTCCAACTGGTAGGTAAGCTTGCTGCTGGGGTCTGGCCAATCAGGACTGAGCAAGACGGGCTGGACATACCCTGGAGCCCTCCTGCAGTTCCTCCCCAGCCCCGATCGTGCACCGGTGGGGTCCCTCAGCCTGGCTTGTGCCCTCTTGTAATCCGGAACTCCTAGGGGGATGTTGGAGAGCCAGTTTCAGCCCAATGGTGGAACATCTGGTTGCTATGATGCTCACTGGCCACCAGGGGGCACACGCTCAATGCAGGAGCTGCCCTCTGGTGGTCAGTGTGCTCCCACAGGGGGGGCGCCACTCAGCCAGAAGCCGGGCTCAAGGCTGGCAAGCACAGCAGCAGTGGTGGGAGCCTCTCCCACCTCCGCAGCAGCGCTAAGGATGTCCGACTCCCAGCTTTGACCTGCTCCCCATGGGGAGTGGGCCTAAGCTGTCAGGTGGACATCCCTCAAGGGCTCCCGGACTGTGAGAGGGCGCAGGCTGGGCTAAGGGAGCCCCCGCCCGAGTATGTGAATTTCATGCACTGGGCCTCTAGTTAATTTATAAATGTATATGTGTGCATAATATTCAATTAATATAAGAATTTATATATTATAGTATATAACATAGTATATTATTATATTAATATTTTATGATGACCATAATATAATAGTATTATATATTATAATTACAAAGTAATATTCCAACACAATTATATTTTAATTATAATGTAATTATATATAATATGCAATATGATATAAACATACATAGTTTTGCTGAACCATTTGAAAGTTGCAGACATAGTAACAAGTTGACCCTAAATACATCACCTTTATCTCCTAAGAACAAAGACATTCTCCTCCACAACAATATTAGAGTCAAGAAATTTAACATTGGCATAATATTATCTGATAAATAGTTCAAATTCAAATTTCTCTAATTGTCCCCAAAACATCCTCTATAGTTACTGTTTTAAAATGTTGGACCCAGGAGCTAACTAGAGCTCATGCATTGCATTTAGTTGCCATGTCTCTTTAGTCACCTTAACCTGGAACCATTTTCTTGACTTTTTTTCCTTTTTGTGATACATTTATGAAAAGTCTAGGATGTTGTCTTATGGAATGTTCCCCAATCTGAATTTGTTAATTTTCTCCCATTAGTTTCCAATTAAAGGGCAAGAACACCAGAGATATCTATGTATCAACAAGTCCAAATATATACATCAAGACCCCTATAGATAACTGTGTAAGTGATATGAACTTGCCATGTATAGAAGAAGAAATATAAAACATCCACTCTTATTCAAAATTTTTAAAATGCAAAGCAGAACAGTTTTGATATTCCAATAACTTAACATGCAATACCTAATAAACAAACAAATTTTTTTAATGGCATTATCCACTGCTATGGAACTGATTTATTCATTCAGCGCTACAGGCCATGTAACATAACATCTTCTGAAAGCAATACTACAATATATAACAAACACAGCAAAGTGATTCATATCCTTTGATTTGGAAACTCCTTAGAAATTTACTTTAAGTCAATTATTAGACAAAAACTAACAACTTACTGATGCTTCCCCCACTGCATATCTATATTGGCCAACAAATAGAAGTAACCTGATTGCCTAACAGTAGAAGAATGGTCTAATAAATTATATGTAGAACAATTTAAAATTGGTGAGGAAATACTATGTAAGAACATGGGGAAATGTAATAAAATGTAAAAACAGAAAGCACAATAACACAACCCTATGTAAAACATATTTGCAGGTGTAAAGTAACAAGATGATGGGGATTATGCATTGTAATATTTGGACAAGTTCTCTCTAATGCTCTTTAATGACTTTTAAAGCAGTGCTCTCTGCCTAAAGCACCAGGCAGTGGAAAGGAGTGGGGGGCTACATGGGTGGGCAGGAGGGGAAGACACCAAATGTTGCTGTGGAAAGCAGGACAGACAGGACAGATGTCATCAGCTTCCCAGCTGCCTGTGGCTCTGGAGTGAAGAATTACCCCCATCTGCCCCCTACGCTGTGATCTGTCCCCTATACCTGTGCTCTGCCCCCTATACCTGTGCCTTACTCTGAAGAATGCTCACTGCTGTCATTGGACACCTTCAGCCATGCCCGCCTGGTGTGACCATTTATTGGCTGCAGCCTCTGAGGCAAAACCAAAGCTGGCTTTGCTCCCAGAGGACCCTTTCTGAATCCCTGTTTAATGGCTGCATCTGCCACATAGTAGAAGGGGTGACCTTGAGTCAGGGCGGGACTCCACACCAAGATAGATTACTTTTGCAAAACTCTGTGCAGAAATGAAGTTCTTGGCTGGTTAGATATAATGACAAGAATTCACAGAGGCATAAAGTGAAGCAGAGACGTCCTCTGAAGCAGCTATGAGATCCTCAGTAACCCCAGCCTCCCACAACATTCCAGGCATGTGTCTGCTTGGTCTGATTCAACTATCAACTTCAAACTCCTGGAGCTTTTACACCAATGAATATCTTGCAGCGCCCATGCTCAGAAGACTGACAGGTTGCATGCAGGTGGCAGGAGCAGCAAAACGATCCCACACCTTGCAGTTAGTGTTCTGTTGACCTAACCTCACCTGCCCCTTATCCTTGGGCAGAGACCTCTCAGACATGACCAGGGAGCACTCACAGACACAGGGAGTGGCAGCCCCAGTGCCAAACCTGACACCACCTTTTCTGCCAGTCTAATTACTGAAGGTCTCACGACTGCCATCAGCTCCCTTACCTGCCTCAGCTCCTGCAAAGAGAGGGAGCCAAGGACAGACTGAACACATGAGGTCAAGGGCACCCTTAATCTCAGTGCTCTCTGGGTGCCTTTTGGGTTAGAAACATCCACCAGGGGATTTCTCAGAGGCCCAGACTAATGCACCCCTGGATGCCAGCACTGCCTTCCAGGGTCTAGGAAGAAGACTGCCAGACCCAAGCATCAACCTTGCCCAAGACCCTTCACCAGACTGACCAATGTGCATGACCTGCCACCCCTAAGCACCACTGTCATTCTTCACTGCAGGGCGGTCACCAACTTTTGATGTTCAGGGCACACAGGGCCCTTCCCTCAAGCAAGTAAATATGCTATGGGGTCGTCTTTATTGTTTTTTGCTTCCCTTTTTTTACTTCTTTCTGTCAGTATGGTTGAACTCAGTGTTAGGAGACTGTCTGCCCCAACTTGCATTATGTCCTCCAACAAGTCATTTAATCTCGTTGAGCCTCTGTTTTTTTATCTGTCAAGATGGGGTAATGTAATGGCTCTCCCCGAACCCCAAGCTGGTACACTTCTTTCTCTCTTCCTGGAGCAACATGACACCTCATTACTGAGGAAGAGTGAAACAGCCACACCCCACTCTACTGATAGCCTTTGTTGTCCCCACCCTGCTGGGGCCCAGCTGCCTCCAAATGTTCCACATCTGCCACTGTGAGTAAAACAGAGAGTCAGCATTCTCTCCCCCAACCCCATCCATGAGGGGCTTTAGAAAAACAGACTCCATCTCCAGATTTGGAAAACTATCAGGAAGACTGGGCTGACTCAGCACTAGGCCAAACTTGAGAAGAAATGTGACTCATTTGAGGAAAGGATGGGGACCTCCTCAGAAGGCTAACCCAAGCAAGTAATGAATCCAGTCCTCAATGCAGGTAATTTCACATCATGAAGAAAACTATCCAATCACCCTGGTAATTTTGTCTAACTAGCTGTCAAACCTTAGATATTTTTCAGAAGCTGAAAAATAACAACTATCACTTGTGGGGCCCTTGCCATGTGCTGAATGCCATTCTAAGCATCTTACATCCATGAAGTGCTATTCCATACACATGAGGTACTGTTCCATACACAAGGTTCTGTTCCATATACATGAAGTCCTGTTCCATATACATGAGATACTGTTACATACTCATGAGCTATTACTACATATACATGAGGCACGACTGCATGCCCATGAGGTGTTATTGCATATTCATGAGATCTTATTAGATATACATGAGGTACTATTGCATACCCATGAGGTATTGTTACATATACATGAGATATGTAAGTGACTTATACACATCCTCTAATGCTATGAGGTGATTTTATTCTCAACTTACAGACAAAGAAATCAAAACTCTAAGAAGTTAAATAATGAATTTGGTGAAGGTCAGTCACACAGCCAACAAACAGTAGATGTCAGTTCCAGAATCCCCAACTTTGCCTCCCAAGGATGGTAGAGTAGCCTGGGTCCCACTTGTGCCTAACTCCATGTATGGAAGTCTCCTCCCGCTGCTGTTCACCTGCTTCTCACACGTCAGCCCCTGCTCTCATCTAGAGACTTAGAGGAAAGGCTAAAGGGGACTGACTGATACATGGGACACCCACACAATGGGATGTAATGCAGTGGTTACAAAAGCAAATATGCTAAGTCCACCAAGAAACAATCATGGGAAAGAAAACCAAGATATGTGTATAGTTTGTATTTGCATAAAAAAGAGAAAAGGATAAATATACTCAAACAACATAAGCAAAAGTACACGTTGAGAATTTCTGAAGGGAATAAAATAATCTCCATCCAAAATGTTTATTATGTGGATACTGGATTCCAGGCACTGTTCAGGGCAAAGACCCTTGGCCACCAGGATGGACCATGGCCACTCTCTCAATTATTAATTCTCAGCTATTCTGGACTTGGTCCTTACTAGACAGCCTCCACTAAGAAAGCAAGGAATTACCCTGACATTCCAGATAACAGTGATGGAAGGGAGGTGCTCCTGACAGGAGCCACACAGAACCTCCCCCAGCAGCCTCTGAGGAGTTAACCTTCCCTCTCAACAATTCTCTGGTTTGATTGTATGGCCTTATTGGCACCACCACCCCCCCCACACCCCCCCCCACACACACACACAACACAACACACACCAAGATCAATAAAAGGAAAAAATAAAAATAAATAAAACTAGGTGCTGAAAACCAAAGGAGCAGTGCCTTTTATTTTGTATTTGCCACGAGGAAAATAGGCTCTAATAGGTTCATGTGAGATAAATGCTTCATGACAGTTTGAACTACTAAGTAAATATTTATGTGACGCCAAAGAATATGTTCCACATGTTGTACTCACACAATACATTAAAGAAAATTTCTGTTCAAAACAGGAAAGAGGAAACAGCAATGAACTCCCCGAGAGAGAGATCATGGATCTGTATCTTCCCAGCCTGAGAGCAGAGCCTGGAATCCACAGGTGGGATTCTCCGTGCGACCCAATCAGAGGGCACTGGTGGCACTTCAGGCTCAGCAGCTCAGGTTTCATGTAAACCGTCCTCTTCTCGCTCTTCCTCACGTTCTGAATGATCTGTTCTGTGTTCATGACATTGCTAATGCTCTGTCCACTTACTAAAACAAGCGTAAACTGAGGTAAAACACAGTGATGGCTGGACCATGGGAAGATCACCCAGGAAGAGTCCAAGGGAGAAAGCAGAGGGCAACCCCCCAATCCCACCACGCACGCATGGACACGGAGCACCACTGGAGAGCAGGGATTTCCTTACGCAGGAAGTCTGCTTGCCTCCTCCCCATCTGTACTCATTCATTCCCTCCCTCCGGCCTCCATCCATTCAAAATTACATATGGGAGTCACTGAAACTTGACTGTATGCCTCTGGTGCCCAGGAAAATCACTACTTGCCAGAAGGAAATCACAAGCAAAACCCCTCCAGGCAGACCTGCTGAAAGCTCAAAGAGCATTCCCAGCCTGGGAAATCAGCCAAGTGGGGCACCAGCCAAGGGTGGGGCCGGAGTCCCTGCTGGTGCCAGTGATGGGCCTGTGATTCATACAACAGGAAACAAAGCTGTTGCTGAATTCTTGGGCACCTGAGCCCTATGGAGCTTGTGTCCCTGAGGCCAGGTTCTGTCCGTTGTTCATGTTGCTAAAATGCTGTATTTCAAAATGCCTGCGGGAGAACAGTGACAGAAATCCCAGCAGGGTGTCTGTCTACTCCCACATGCAGTCGGTGGTCCTGGGGAGCGGGGAGTGTCAATGCCAAGTGAGGCTTGGCACCCCCCTCAAATATATAACAAGCCTTTAAAAAATCGTTTTCAATAAGCCCTGCAAGTGCAAGGACTCAAAAAGTTGGGTAAAAACTCAGAGTTGTTCCTCTCCAAGAAAATCTTTAGTAAAAGGCAGAAGATGTATATGATCTGAAGGGAAACCAGAGGATATCACAAGCCTTTTAATGCCACAGGCATCTGAGCCAAAAGGGTTAGAGGTTCATTTATTGAAAACTCACACCTCTCCCGTGCAGCTGACATCAGCCACTCCACATTATCCAGTCAGTGGCAGGCAGCGTTCAGGAAGATTCGAGCAGAGTGAGCTAATACTCATACCCTCTAATGGCCCACCTAATCCGGACTCCAGACAGCTTCTCAAACAAAGTGGCTAAATGATTTCCCAAAATACCACAACGAACAAACTTTTTAGTTTCCCCAAACGTGTTCTTTGCAAAGGTGATTCTGAGTTCTCACTAATGTTTTAAAGTTAAAATTTAAAAGAAAGACCCTGTCCTGTCCCAGAGAGAGAGCTGCAGTCCTGAGCAGGTTCCCATGAGGCTGACCAGGTGGGTATTTCCTGTTACGTTAGCTGGGAAAGGAGAGTTTCAGGTAATCAGAAGATTATAAAAGAAGAAAATAAAAGGCAATGAAAGAATGGCAAGACAAGGGGGATGAAGAAAGAAGATGCTTATTAAGTGACAAAGTCCAGGCTGACAATTGGCTAAATGAACTCCACATCTTCTCAGGAAGCAGATGGATTTGTCTTATGTAACAGAACCTCCTCTCCCCAGTGCTTTGGTCCATACTCACCAAGAAGAGAGCTCGCCTTCCTTCCACCCTCCTTCCTAGTCACCCAAGCCCCGCTAGTTTCCAGACCAGGGCGCGTGTGTGTCCCACTCCCCCCACCCCACCCCCAATGCCGGCACCTCTCCCCAGCCAGAGCCACTGCGGTCTGGGAAACCTAATGAATTCCCAGTTATTGCTTCTGAGGGCCCCAGAAACTCCCATCTCCTCCTGAGCTGTCTTCCGTGGTGATATGAGAATTTTGGGGAAAGAACAGTCACCATGTGAGGAGAGTATGTTGATAACAGCTCTGTGAAACATCAAAGACATCTGCTAAATTTTGGACTGCATAGCTATAAACTCCCATACAGTGAACATGAAAACTTCCAAGGGCAAAGAGGGGAGAAAACTTAATTTTTCCATTCTGATGAACCTAAGAAAATATTCTGAGGCCACAGATTCTTAAGGAAGATGTAGCGTAGATTTTAGTGGCAATAAAGAACAAGTGGAGATGAAGTTCCCCAAATAAGTTATCTTTGTCCAGAGGGAAAAAATGACTGGCCACAGGCCCTGCCTTGAATAAATCTCAACCAACTTCTTGCAGGTATATATTCTTAATCACTAGGGCCCGGGGGAAGAAGCAGTTATGACTCAGCATTACCCAGCTCTCATCCTATAACTTATTGCCTCGGGGCAGCCCAGGAGTTGTGTCTTTACATATAGAAGATGGCACTTTCCTAACCCGGAAATCTGGTCCCTTCATACAGGGAAGTTACCTGCCTGCCCTTTCGGTTAGTCTTGGCTTGAGCAGTAACTGGGACTCGGCAGAAAGGTTAAGCTGAAGTGAAGGTCTACCATCCAGTCTTCAGAGTCTCAAGAATCCTAGGGATGGATTAGCACTGTCCCTGGCCAAAGCACATTGCTTCCACATGTCAAACGTGTGAGCGAGTCTGCCTATTCCTACGAGGTCACAGGATGCCAAAGAAGAGAGAACTGAAGTCCATCTAGAACAAGCATGTCAAACTCAAAGGCTAACACGGGCCAAATAAACAAGGCATGCGGCCTGCGAGCCGAGAGTTTGACATGCTTGATCTAGAGCAGGGGTGGGCAAACTTTTTGACTCGAGGGCCACAATGGGTTCTTAAACTGGACCGGAGGGCCGGAACAAAAGCATGGATGGAGTGTTTGTGTGAACTAATATAAATTCAAAGTAAACATCATTACATAAAAGGGTACGGTCTTTTTTTTTTTAGTTTTATTCATTTCAAACGGGCCGGATCCTGCCCGCGGGCCGTAGTTTGCCCACGGCTGGTCTAGAGGAAAGAGACAGAGAGCAATTTTGGTTTCTGAGAGAAATAAGAAAGGGTTGAACGGGAGGTATGGTATCTAATCTCCATGATAACTCCTGCCTCCTGGTATCCTCCTTTGTGTGGGCCTTTCCTATAATAAATAGAGATGACCTGCTGGCTTGTGTAACCAGAACAATTGTGCAGAAATGACAGTGTAACTTCTGAGTCTGGGTCATAAAAGACACTGTAGTTTCCACCTTGCTCTCTCTGGGATCACTCACTCTGGAGAAAGCCAGCTGCCATGTACGAGGACACTCAAGCAGCTCTGTGAGAGGTCCATCGGGAGGGAAACTGAGGCCTCCTGCCAATAGTCAACAGTGACTTGTGAGCCATGTGTGTTAGCCACATTGGAATCGGATCCTCTGCCCCCAGGTGAGTCTTTCATTGACCACAGCCCGGGTCAACATCCCAACTGCAAGCTCATGAGAGACCATGGGCCAGAATCATCCCACTAAAGCTATAGAATTCCCGATCAACATCAACTTGATGAGATAATACATATCCATCATTGTCTTAAGCTGCTAAATTTGGAGTAATCTGCTACACAACAATGGATATATAATTCAAGAGAAAATGGGTAAACCAAGCAGGAGAGATGTAGGGTAGACATTGGAAGGAGCAGTTTTCAACTGTAAGGACTGTACATTCCCTCAATAAATATTTACTGAGTGCCCCCTGGGTGCTAGGTACTGTGCCTCTACTTTGTGTTACACATTAATCCTGCCGATGGAGAAAGAGAGAGGGGAAGAATAAATATTGACTGGACAGGTTATATTAGAATCCCAGCCACATGGCGAAAGTGAGGTAGGCTGACCTGGCTCCTGAGAGCTGGGAAATCAAAGATACTGGTGTCCTAAAAAAAATCAAAGTGATCCACTGTGTTAGCTTTATTCCTTAAGCTTGAAGCTGTAACCCCTGTTAGAATGCAGATCCTCTGGGAGAGCCATTATGAGTTTAGTGTGGATGAATTGCAGATCCTTTTTGGAGCAGTTGTACTGGGAAGATGGGAAAATTGTGGGGCATAAAGGGTTCGTAGGGGCCTTCAGGGAGAGTGGTGGCAGGAGATAAATTCTGGAAATGTTACAGTCAAAGGCTAATGGGTACTTAGCATATCTCAAGCAGAAGATAAAATCGGTTTTTTAAAAAATCTAATAAAAATAATAGGCACCATTTGCTGTATAACACGTGATGAGAACATATTTTCTAGACTTCTCCAAAGGATTCTACAAGGTGGGCATTATTATCTCCACTATACCAGTGGTCGGCAAACTGTGGCTCGCGAGCCACATGCGGCTCTTTGGCCCCTTGAGTGTGGCTCTTCCACAAAATACCGACTTCTGCGCATGGGCCACGAAGTTTCAATTGCACTGTACGTGCGCTCCCACACGTGGTATTTTGTGGAAGAGCCACACTCAAGGGGCCAAAGAGCCGCATGTGGCCCAGGAGCTGCAGTTTGCCAACCACGGCACTATACGAACGAGGGGACAGGGGCTAAGGAAACCTGAGTTACTTGCCCAAGCGTGCACAGTTATTAAGTGCAAGAGCCTGGTTTGGTACCAAGGCCCATCTGGCTCCAAAGTTCAGTTTCCCCACACACAACACATGTTAAAGAACATGGGTAAACATTACTGTCCCCTTTTCATCTCATGTAGGAACTGGAAAAAGCATGTAAGAAAATTTGAGCATGGTGTTCATATTTCTCTCACAGGTGGTTTGTAGACTTTTTAAAAATTTCCTTCTTAAATGGTGTCAAAGAAAAAACATTGAGGAAAAATTATTAACAGATTGGAAGGGGAGAGGCCAATTTCTTTTAAGTGAACATGGGATTTGATGAGAAGTTCTGAAAGTTGTTTTGGAAACCAGACTGCTGACAAAGTAACAGAAAACAAAAACTCAGAGACAACTCACTTTCCTACCACACTCCACATGCCAGGGAGCACGAGGGGGGACGAAGGGGGAGAGCAGAAAGACCAAAGCCCCTGCTTTCAGACCATGTACACTGATTCCAGTATTTTCCTGCTGAACGTAGAGAGGCAGGAGGAGATGTGAGGTAGCAAACACAATCTTCACATAGCCAACCACCTCCTGGAACAAAAGGTTTCTCTCTGCATGAGCCAAGCAAGGAAGAACATTTCAGATGAAAGTATTCCCTAATCCTGACCCACACCATCGAGTGTCTGGCAGGAATACATAGCCATAAAGGAAAAGTCTGGTCTCTTTCCCAGGTCAGTCCCCTCCTCAAGCCTAAGGTTACAAAGATGCAAGTTCAATAATGCTATTTAAAAAAAAATGTTATCCTCTTTCTTCAAACAGAGCATTTAGCAAAGGTCCAGATCAAATCTAACTGGAAGCCCTGGCCAGTGCGGCTCATTCAGATGGTTGCACCAAGTGGTCGCTAGTTCGATTCTTGGTCAGGACACATGCTCAGGTTACAGGCTCAATCACCAGCAGGGGGCATTCAGGAGGAAGCCAATGTTCCTCTCCTTTCCACTTTCTCTCTCAAATCAATCAAAAAAGAAAAAAAAAATATATATATATATATATATATATATATATACACACACACACATATTTTACTGGAAAATTAGAATTGAGAGGTTAAAAAAGTATGTTTGTGTATAAGGTATAAGAACTAAAACAAAGATATGACACTATATCTTTTGTTCTTTGAAACCAACTTCCTGCGGAAAAAGAGTGCAGTGTTGAAGAAGGCACCCTTCCTCTATTCTGGAGCTGCCCAAGCCTGGGCTAGCAGCCTGGTCCAAACGATCTGTGCAATGGAGAGCTCTCTGCTTGGGAAGAGCAGGACGATGATTTTCCTCTTGCTCTGGGGAAGCCTGGAGCCTTTTAAAAGCTTACACCCTTATTTGCAGCTCGAGGGAATCCCAGTAGATTTCGGAGTGAGGATGACCTGAAACTTGACCACTCATTAACCAGAACTACTGGCTGATTCTCAACCAATCAGCCTGAAATGTATGCCCATTAGACCCCTGACTTGGCTCTATCTGAAGTTGATGTCTCGCTTGAAAACCTTCCTA